GCCTGGATGGGGTGGGGAGCTTCAAAGGGGGGATTTGAGCAGGGCCTGGAAGGAATTGTTGTTTGGGCTAGGGGTAAAAGAGCCCTGAGAGCCTTGGGTCAGAGGACAGCAGGAGCTGGGGTCTCAGGGAGGGCAAGAGGCTTAGAGAGAAGGTGGGGTCCAGTGTTGAGAGGGGAACCAGGTTTGCACCAAGGCAGGGACTCTGACCATGGGCTGGTGGCCTTCCTCTCAGCTCCTGAGGGCAGAGCCAAAGCTTCTAATTTGTGGCTTTCCATTTGGGGAAAGAATCTCAGCCACAACAATAGCCTAGCCCTGGCGCCTGCCCCTCAGAGGGGTGTGGCTCCCTCTGAGCAGAGCCTGGTCCCCATGACCCACAGCAGGGGTAGTATAGAGGGAGATGCCACTGAACATTTGTTCCTCGAGAACCTACACAGCTAGTGTGCAATGTGTGTAAGACAGATATCTGCTCTCTTACTGACAAACTCCTGTGTAAAACAGGAATTATTATTATCATCCTAACTTCTTTTTCTCTGTCCCCCCACCCCCCACAGTATATTAGTTGCAATACTTATCTCATTGCTGCAACAAAATATCTAACAAAATCAACTTAAGGAAAAAAAAAAAAAAAAGGTTTGTTTTGCCATCCAGGCAGGAAAGGCATGGTACCAGGAGCAGGAAGCTGATGATCACATCGCAGCCGCAGACAGGAAGCAGAGAGATGAACACTGCTGCTCAGGGCCCCCTGTCTCCTGTTTATTCAGTCCAGGACCCCCACCTATGAATGAATGATGCCACCCATAGTTAAAGTGCCTCTTCCTGCCTCTTTAATTTAGCAGGATAATCTCTCCCTGACATGCCCACAGGCTGTTCTCCTAGGTGACTCTGGATCCTGTCAAGTTGACAGCACTAACAACAGCTGGTTGTTTATTTATATATGCACATGTATGTTTTGGTACTACCTGGCTAGCTCCAGGACTCATGGGGAGAGGAAGGAGTTCAGAACTCGCCTTTGCTCTTACTCCAGTGTCTTTGTCACTTTGTCAGCCATATGCTCCTCTCTCCTGAGCGCTATTTAGATGCAGCCATGTTTTAAAGGGCCTTGAGTGACAAGAGAATATGCAGCTGGGTTTGTTTCTGGAGCTGTTCCGGTCCTAACATTGATGGTGGGTTTTGGTTTAGTTTTGAGACAGGGTCTCACTACGTAATCTGGCTGGCCTGGAACCTGCCATGTAGACTAGGCTAACCTAGTTATTCTTTTGCTTAAATTAGAAATAAAAGAAAAAGCGCAGGCTGAGACATGAGACTAAGAGACATATTAACCAGTTTATTATAGGCCCGGCAGAGTAGGGAGACTAAGAGAGAAGAGAACATGGTTAATGGCTGACTGCCATGGCTGGCCGCCATAGAGAGGCAGAGAGAGCGGGTAGGTGGGAGAAGAGAAGAGCAGAGCAGAGAGAAACGTAGAGAGAGGAGTACAGAGAGTGTAAATGGGCAGGGTCTGTCTTTTAAAGGGGTCCTCTGCACCTGCCTGCAGACTTAGTTCCCATGGAACCCTGGGCTGACCAGGGTATTGCCTGTTCTGCCAGGTAACTGGGGCGTAATGCCTGAACCTTTCAAACCTCAAACTCACAAAGATCTTCCTGCTTGTCTCCCAAGTGCCAAGGTTAAAGGAATTTGGCACTATGTCTGACCTATTTTGAGACAGGGTCTGGAGTAGCAGAGATTGGCCTGGAACTCTCTATACCTAGCCAAGGATGACTGAACTTCTGATTCTCCTGTTTCTACCTCCTGAGTGTCGGGATTATCGATGTGTGTTACCATCCCCAGTTTTGTTTTTTTGTTTTTTTTAATTACTTGGAAAACTTTATTGGGGAAGGTAAGGGAGTAAGGGAAGGAAAGAGAGAAGAGAGAAAGAGAGACAGAGAGGGCTGCCTCCTCAGAGAATAGCAGAAAGAGAGTTACCATCCCCAGCTTTATGGAATGCTGGAGATGAACCAAGGGTTTCCTGCACACAAGGCAAGCACTCTACTGAGTAACAACTCAGGTCCCAGTCCCTTTGAGGGTAATCCCTCTTTCACATTGCCTTGCAACTCAGCACCAAGACCCACTGGTTATCTTCAGAAAACATCTGGATTTCTACGGCTTCTTATCCTGCTCCATTCCTACTACCTCAGGTCAAGTCATCAATATCTCGGGCCTAGGTTGCTGAGACAGTCTCTGCCGAGTTTCCCTTATGCTAACCTCATTCCTTGGAGTCTGTGCTCAATATGATGATACATCTATCCTTCAAAAATATACATCAGCCCCATGTGCCATTGCAGGGCATATATACACACATGGATTTACACACACACACACACACACACACACACACACACACACAGTGTGCATACACATACATACATACAATTTAAAAGTATACATGAACCCTATGGCTTTTCTGTCCAAAACCCAAAAAAGGCCTTATATGTCACTCCAATAAAAGCCAAGTGTCCTAGGGTCTAGGCTGCTGTTTAGTGGTAGGACATTGGCTTACAGGTGCAGGGTCCTAGGAGGTTCATTCCACAGCACAAAAGAGGCCAACATCTTTTTTTTGTTGTTGGTGGTGTTTTTTGTTTGTTTGTTTGTTTTTCAAGACAGGGTTTCTCTGTGGTCTCAAACTCACAGAGATTCCCCCTGCCTCTGCCTCCCAAGTGCTGGGATTAAAGGCGTGTGCCGCCGCCGCCGCCGCCGCCGCCGCCGCCGCCACCACCACCACCTGGCTAGAAGCCAACATCTTTAGTGGCATGCAGGTTTTCTGTGACCTGTTAGCTCTGTGATCTTTTCACCTCCCTCCCTCCTGTCCCTCTTAAATGTTTCAGACATGTTTGGTCTCCTGATGTGCTCTTTGTTTTGGGATCTTCTGCTTTGCAATAGGGTCTCAGGTAGTATGGAATGGTATCTGAGCTGCTGTGTAGATGAGAATGTCTCGACTTTCTGATCCTTCTGCCTCTACTCCCCAGTGTTGAGATTATATATGCACCACCACACCTGGTTTGGGCCGGCTCTTTGAACATTCCAAACATCCCCCATTGCACTGGAATGATTTTGCTCTCGTTGATCTCCTGGCTCCTGTAGCTTCCTTCATGATGTTCAGGTCTCCCCTTGAGGGCAGATCGTCTAGCTCAGTGGTAGAACAGCTCACTTAGCATTCATGAGAGGTTGGGTTCCATTCCCAGCACTGCAGGGTGGTTAGCCAACTGACTGTTTGGATCCCAGCACAACACTGTAGCTCCCAACTTCCTGTAACTCTTGTTCCAGGGGATCTAAAGCCCTCTTCTAACCTCTTCTGACCTCCAAAGGCACTAGACATGCATATGCATGGTACACATGCATACACTCAGGTATGGATATTTACACTAGGAAATATTGTTTTGTTTTGTTTGAGACAGGGTCTATGTAGTTCTGGCTGTCCTGGAACTCTCTTTATAGACTAGGCTGGTCTCAAACTCAGAGATCCACCAAAGGTGTGCTCCAC